CCTATTAAAAAGTAGCAAAATATTTAGATTTCATTTGTCAAAGAGAAAACCACACATGAGTGTAGTCATTAACAAAATATGCACATCAGTAATGCCTCCCAATAGGTTATCCTTCCATATTCCTTATGAGGTACAGGCCATTCAATGAGTTAATTTGGTTTTTTTGTAGTTTAAATTTTAAAGTTATATTCAAACGGTTACAAATTTTCTCAAGCCTATGTTGTCACCTAATGATGAAAAGAAAAAAAAATCTATTAACTTTCGGTTCCCTTCTTTGTCCTTGAGTAGTTCTGCCTCCTTAGGAATACTGAGCTAAGAGAATACAGGTAGAATATAAGAAATGTCACTATTAATATCACCAGTAATTAAAAGTTTATTGAATGCTTACTTGTTCAAGGCACTTTAAGGGATGAAAAGAGGAGTACGCAAGAGGGAAGAGATACGGGGACATATGTAAATGTATAACTGATTCACTTGGTTTTAAAGCAGAAACTAACACACCATTGTAAAGCAATTATACTCTAATAAAGATGTTAAAAAAATAATAATGCTAATGTGAAGAGTTTTGAAAGGTAAAAAAAAGGAGTAAAACATAGACTTAAAATTTTAAATGGCAAAGAATTATTTTATAATTTTTTCTTTTTTGTGGGTGGAGTCATCTTCCCCTATAATTACCAATATAGAAATGGCAACATTTCAAATATGAATGCAATGTTTTAGAACATAAATTCTGCTTGATTTCCATTGTCACCTCCAAATTCAAATGCTATTTCTAACAGAACTGGGTCCCACTTTTTACCTCCCACCCTATGCCGTGCCCAATCTGCAAGGTTCCAGAGATTACTGCCAGTTCAGGAGACAATTGTGCCTTTTGGAACAGTTCCTACTGGATTATCTCACTTTGCCACTTAAGAGCTTTGCAATTTCTGCATTTTACCAAAATTCTTGGAGCTTCAGATTCCCTGTCTACAAAAGATACATAATAAAACTTAACTTACCCACTTGTTATGATTAAATGATCATACATTAGTCCTTTGCCAAGCATAATGTACCATATAAAGGTGTGGAATCATACCTATAAGAAGCACAAAAATGTAACAACCACTTGAAAATAATTCTCTCATTGGTCTGCACAGGGCCTAAAATATCTATCACTTTACTCACCCCTTTGACTTCTCAAGGAGCTCCCTGTTAACCTATACATATGTCATACAATTGAATACTAAATATTCATCAAATATTTATATTAAATAACTAGTCGTGATGGGTCACAATGGAAAACATTATTGGCAGTAATAAAAAGGAACATTCGGAAGCAATAAAAAGAAACTTGATTCATGCAACAACATGAATGAACTTCACAGGTATTGTATTAGGCTGAGTGAAAGGAGCCAGAGACATACAAAAAAAAAATTGTTCATAATGTATGGTCTTTTATGAAATTCTAGAATATGTACAACTAAAAGGGGTGTGAGGGAACTTTCTGGGGGATGAAAATGTTTTATTCAAAATGGTGAGGATAACACTAATCCATATATTTTTCAAAACTGATTTAAAGTAACAGTATAAAGAGATGAGCATACCACTGCATGTAAATTTTACTTATATTTTATAAAAGACCATTGAAACATTATTGTGTTTATTTAAAAATAGTTCTTATATTTTATGGATGTATGCTTAATTGCGTACAGATGAAAAGATATATGCAATTTTGGGGATTTAGTAAAGAAAAATGGGGGAAGGGAGTAGTGGTAAAAATGGGGAGTGGATGAGAATATGGATGAATCGTGCATTGGAAAATAGTGGAAGTTGGGTGATATTCCACTGAGAGTTCTTTATTCTCTCTACTTTTGTATATGTTTGAACATTTCCCATAATAAAAAGTTGAAAAAAGAGGGATCATTTTGGTTCATCTCCCTTCACAAGAGAAAATTGAACAGAAGGACATAACTTGTTCAAGCTCTCAAAGCCAGAAAGCAATCCAACTCCCAAGTTTAACCCACTTTCTCTGATCCCAAGGAAACAAAATATGAGCGTTTTGGAAAGGCTACTTTTCAAATGGGCCCACCGATAGTGCAAGGAGTTGTTTAAGCAACAAATATACTTGCTTCCAGTCTCTTTTGGTTTCAAATGGCTGTTTTGTAGATTTAAATTCCTTTTTACTCCCGTTTCAGAATGTGAGTGCAAGGATAAGAGAAAGCTTTTTTTTTTTTCCTACAAAAAATAAACACAACACAAACCAAAAAACATACAGCAAAGACTTCTTTTCCCCTTCCAGTTCTAAAAGCATCCTCCCATTCCAGGCAAAGAAAGCAGAGGCAGATCTGTTAACGGGGAGGCGCTTGGGTCTCCATTCCGGTGTGATCCAGAACAGCTGTTTTCCCTCCAGCTCCCTCCAATTAAGCAATGCAAAAATTGTCTTGAAACCCGTGCGAGTGCCTGCCTGTGTGTCTGTGCGTGGGATGCGGTAGCGTGTCAGCACCGAGGACAACGGGAATCAGAAGTCGGAAAGGTGAGTGGTGTGTAGAATCTCCCTTTGCAGAAGGGGCGGAAGAAATTGGATCTGCTGGGTCAGGAGACTCAATCACGCTGGATTTGTCTCTTCCAGCCAGGCCCTTGAATCTGGAAAGTAAATTCCACTCTGAGAACGAAAAGCCTTACAGCCGCTTGGTTTCGACGGCTGGGGAGACTATTCCTTCCTTGTTCCACTGACGGGAAAATCAGCGTCTGGCAGCCGCTGGTTGGTGGAAAGGAAAATGGTGAGAGTGGGGGTGGGCAGAGGATTTGACGAGCCTCCTCCGGCCTCTTCAACCTGTAACTCTTCTTTACTCGTCTTCCCTCCACCCGCGAGACCATTTCGGGCTCATGAGAGGTTAAGAGCAAACGTACATCTGGAGGCTCTTTAAACAAAAGCATCGTTAACGTTGTGTCCTACGACCATTAATCAAATTTCAGCGATCCGAGGGAAACGTGCTCTTGGCAGTGCCGATGGGAGCACCATTCCTAAGCTGCCTGTCTCCTTCAGCAGCTCCCCGAGAGACTGGCTCTATCTTTGGTGGTCGATCGCCCAGACTTCCACTTCCCCAGGCCGCTTCTGACGTGGGGGGTCCCCGTGAGGAACCAGAGGGAAAGGCGGAAACGGGGAAGGGGGGGATGGGCAAGAGGGAGAGGCATCAGTCCAAGCCTAACCGCTCCGAATCTCCGCAAGAGCCCCCGTGACCCCGGACTTGAAGTGAGCCCCAGAACACCCCCACCTTCCCGTGTCCCAGGACCTGGCGGGCTGCCGGAGCTGGAGGGACAGCCTTCCTCCACCCCCATCCCCAGCCGAGAACAGGAGTGAAGAGCACGCGGCGGGGAAAGCGGCGAGCGCCGGGAGAGGGGCGGGGAGAGGAGCTGACAAATCAGCTGCGGGGGCGGTGAGCGGAGGAGGAAAGGACGAGGAAGAGGAGGAGACGGAAGGACCGGGAGGAGGAGCAGGAGAGCGGGCGAGCGAGCGCGCGCCGCCGCGCGGGGTGAGGTGTGTGCCGGCCTTCGAGCTGACCCGGGGACCGAGCCCCGCCTTGAGCATCCTTGGCGCTCTTTTCCCAGCCTTCCCTTGAGACCTTCTGTCTTCTTCTCTCGAATCCTCCCCGTGCGGGGGACGGGGAGTGGCAATTCGACGCCGGGTTCGCGGGTTGGCGTCCCACGCCCCCAGCCTCTCCCCGCACGGTTATGCTGACAGCCGCCTCCTCTGGGGACCATCCCTCTTCTGGTGCCACCTCCACCCTTCCTGTGCGCTCTTCATCCTCTCTCCTCCCACTTAAATAATATTTGGGAATTGTTTTACATTTTTTAAAAGTGCGGGTGGGGGAAGAATCCGAGTTCTGAGGAGTCGAGGGAATCAGGTAAGTACCTGTGGATCTAAACGGGCAGCTTGGGAAATCATGGAGAAAACCTGGTGGGAGAAAAGTCATTGCGAACGCCCGGGAGGCGGGGTTGGTGCTGCAGTGAGGACCCGCCGTAGTCGAGTCTCTCCCTGAGGTGGGTTCTTATCCCTAATGGTGAGCTTGCGGAAAGTAAATCCACCTGGCTTTCCTTCTGCTTCCGGTACTCCTCGCGTCTTGTCCTCAAAGGCTGAGAGGTCCGGATTCTCAGGGGTAAGCTGTTTCTTTGGGAAAGGCGAGGATGCTCGGTGGAGTATGAATATTCAACTTTTATTTTCCGCTATCCTTAAATCCCGCAGTCCGTTCTCTCTTGTTAAGTAAACAAGCTGTGTTTGGCAAATCATTAAACGGAAGAGCAAAGAGGGCAAGCCAGCAGGTGGTAAGGGGTTAACAGGTGCGGGCGCCGGGTGGCTGGCGGGATCAGCGCGCGGAGAACGCCCCCTCGGGGAGCTGGCGCGCATCCCGAGACTGCCCGCGGGTGTGAACGCGCGCCTGCCTGCGCAGGGTAGATGGCCGAGGGCAGGGTGCGTGGTGGGGTGGATTAGGGCGAGTGCGGGGGCGCTGGGGTTCAGCCACACCCAGAGTGAGTAGTTCCCTCCCTTGCCTTCCTCACGTTTGACCTGTTAGCCGCCTTCGGGGATTTAAGAGTGTCCCTGACCCCGTGCCCCCAGCTCCCTTTACTTTTCCTGTAACCTGTCTTCTAAACGCACTTCTAAGTTATACTGTTACCATTTGGACCCTGGGAAGTTAAAAGAGGGGTCCATCTTTTCATGTAATTCCACTTCGGAAAGGCTGTAAGAACAGCTGAGATGATTCATCCTAATCCATGTTGAGGCGGCTAGACTTTTACCAGCCAAGATGGATGGGAGATGCTAAATTTTTAATGCAAAAGCTAAAAAAAAAAAAAGAAGGCTGCTTTGTCCGATGGTGGAAATGGAGGTACACTTAAAAGAATCCCACACTTTTGGGGAGTCTACTGATCTTTCAGTGGTTTTTACCTTGGGTGGTTCTAATTTCGTTTTGTTTTACCCCAAAGTTCTCAAAGTGTATTTTGTATTCTCCAGTGCGGTGTAAAGGAATTCATTAGCCATGGATGTATTCATGAAAGGACTTTCAAAGGCCAAGGAGGGAGTCGTGGCCGCTGCTGAAAAAACCAAGCAGGGTGTAGCAGAAGCAGCGGAAAAGACAAAAGAGGGTGTTCTCTATGTAGGTAGGTAAGACCCAAGTGTCACTTCGTTATTTATTTATGACTGATGCGTTAGGATGACTGATGTTTTATTTTTTTAATTAATTAATTTATTTTTGCTGTGTTGGGTCTTCGTTTCTGTGCGAGGGCTTTCTCTAGTTGTGGCGAGCGGCGGCCACTCTTCATCGTGGTGCGTGGCCCTCTCACTATGGCGGCCTCTCTTGTTGCAGAGCACAGGCTCCAGACGCGCAGGCTCAGTAGTTGTGGCTTACGGGCCTAGTTGCTCTGCGGCATGTGGGATCCTCCCAGACCAGGGCTCGAACCTGTGTCCCCTGCATTAGCAGGCAGATTCTCAACCACTGCGCCACCAGGGAAGCCCTGACTGTTGTTTTAAATGCTGATGTTTCCCGCTTGATTCAGTTTTGCATCTTCACTTGTCAAAATGATAGACTGAATCAGAGGTATGTGTAGGTAGGTAAATGTGTGTGTGTTTGGGCTATAGTAAAAAGTGGGGCTATTTTATTTTTCCAGATCATTTAATTTTGCAATAATACTTAGGACTTGGTTTCTTTTTTAAAATGAATGTTTCTATGCATAAGTAACTATAGCTCTGAGGACAGTTTTTAAAACTCAGTCTTAAAAAATAATCGAGACTATTTTAAGAATCAGACTCATCCATGGGCTTTTGATTTCTTTTATCATCATGTATAATATACGCTAATTTCAGTGTATTCTAATTTAAAAATAAGACTTTGATATGACCTTGAGCTATGTAAAGACAGACCTTCTATGGCCCTAAAAAGGAAAGGACAAAAAAGTCTTTGGTGGAGTTACTTCTTGCTACCACTTGGTAAGCTGGGGACTAAGCTCAAGAAACTGCTTAAAGGCTGCTGATATCTCCGAGACATTTATATATTTCATTTATCAAGCGATACACACAATAAATGATGAGATTGATGCTTGTTATTTCTACTTGTTTATAAATTCCCACCTTGTAGTATTCTTACAGACCCTGACTCTCTTGAACTGTGTTAGGTTGGGTGTTATTTTACAAATTACCTCAAACTCTTTGGGGAAGAAGTAGGCACACACTCATGCATAGGGATAGACACATGCACACACATACACATACACTTACCCACTGCCCATTCTGCCTCTCCTCTTTCTCCTCTGAGCTCTTCCACATTCTCTGGTGGCAGTTGTAGCAACAGTAGCCAAAGGATGAGCAATAAAGTGGAGGATACGCATATTTAGAATACTCTGCCTGTGTCTGTGGGGTGAAAGAAAGCTACACCGTCTCTCTAACATCGATGGGCTGGAGAAAAGTTATACTTGGAATGATTTTTATGAATCCTTCTCATTTTTTTTCTCACTGTTCATAGACTCTTTTTATGTTGGCTTAATCTTACCACAAATCTCTAGTTAAATTACTCTTCCAAACATATTTTCATTGGATTAAAAGATGTTACAAGGGGGAAAAAAATTGATGAGTTAACTTCAAGTTTTTTTGTGAAGTGCGGATTATATCTTTTCAGATGGAATTTGGGATACTGAATCAGTGACATACAGATAATCAGTATCTTTATATTTGTCCTCAGTTTTCCAAGTTCTGCAAGTGCATGCTTGCAACTATTCTTTGATTTCAGTTACTTTATAACTTACTAACTTTAAAGATTTTTTTAGTATGATAATATCCACTTTATTAGTTTGTAAGGAGCCCAGAAAATACTGAATATTAAATTAATACATTGCAGTTTTCCAGGTAATAAGCAGGATTATCATCTGGAAAGCATTGTATTTGTTTTCATTGTCAACTATGAGTTTGGGCAAATAAAATTATTTTACTTTTTAGAGATTAATTCTGTTATTTGTTCTGAGATTATTATATGAAGTTTTAATTCGTTTATGTGACACGTGTTTTTTAAAAATCATCTTCAGTGTTTATTTTGGTATTTAAAACATGGTGCATTCTATAAACTATCAGTTATGTTTTAAAGTCAATTAAAAGTTGAATACAAATACAGGATTCAGGATGAAGAGTGACCATGTGAAGACATAGTAATATAGTTCAGGTGTTGGCAAGCTTTTTCTGTAAAGGGGTAGATAGTGAATATTTTAGGCTATGATATATGTTTCGTCTGCTCAACTTTTCTCTTACAGTGTGAAAGCAGCCATAGACAATAATTAGGGTGGCTATGTTCCAATAAAACGTTACTTAATAAAACAGTTGGGGCGCTTATTTGGCTCATAGGCTGTAGTTTGCTGACTCCTGATAAAGGAGAAAAAAATAGATTTGGCGTCAAACTTAAATTCCACTCCAGGCTACACCACTTATTACCTCTAGGATACTGGGAAGTAACAACATATCTGAGCATCACTTTCCTCATTTGTAAAAATATGATTTGGATAAATGCAACTACCTTGAAGAGTTTTTGTGAGAATGTCATAATAAAGCAGAACATATGAATAATAATACATACTTTAAAAAAATTAAAGACTTTATTTTTTATAGCAGTTTTTAAGTTAACAGAGAAATTGAGAAGAAGGTACAGAGGTTTCCCACATACCACCTCCCCACAACATTCATAGCCCCTCCCATTACCAACATCCTTCACTAGATGGTACATTTGTTACAGCTGATGGACCTACCCTGACACATCATAATCATCCGAAGTCCATAGTTTCCATTCGGGTTTGATCTTGCTATAGTATATTCTGTGAGTTTGGACAAATGTATCATGATATGTTTTCATCATTATAATATCTTATAGAATATTTTCAGTGTCCCCCAGCCCCAGGCAACCACTGATCTTTTTCTTTCCATAGTTTTACCTTTTCCAAAGTGTCATATCATTGGAATCATATGTAGTTTGTTCAGATTGGCTTCTTTCACTTAATAGTATGCATTTAAAGTTCTTCCATGTCTTTTAATGGCTCATTTCCTTTTAGTGCCAAATAATATTCTCTTGTGTCAGTGTATTACAGTTTGTCTATCCACCTTCTGAAGGACATCTGGTTGCTTCCAAGTTTTGGCAATTATGAATAAGTCTGCTGTGCAGGTTTTTGTGTGGACATAAGTTTTCAGCTCCTTTGGGTAGATACCAAGGATCACAGTTTCTGGGTCATATGGTAAAAATAAGTTAAGTTTTTAAAGAAACCATCAAACTGTCTTCTGCAGGGGCTACACCGTTTTGCATTCCCACCAGCAATTAATGACAGTTCCTGTTGCTCTACTTGCCCAGCAATATTTGATGTTGTCAGTGTTCTGGATTTTGGCCATGCTAATACATGTGTAGTGGCATCTCATTGTTATTTTAATTTGCATTTCCCTGATGACATAGGATGTGGAGCGTCTTTTCAAATGCTTCTCTGCCATCTGCACATCTTGTTTGATGAGGTGTCTGTTAAGATCTTTAGCCCATTTTTTAATCAGGTTATTTGCTTTCTTGTTGATTTTTAAGAGTTCTTTGTCTATTTTGGATAACAGTTCTTTTTCAGATATATCTTTCATGAATATTTTCCTGTCTTTAGATTGTTTTCTCATTCTCTTGACATTGTCTTTCACAGAAGTTTTTAATTTAAATGAGTTCCGGCTTATTAATGATTTATTTCATGAAGCGTGTCTTTGGTGTTATAGCTAAAATGTCATTGCCATACTCAAGGTTATGTAGATTTTTTCCTGTGTGATCTTCTAGGAGTTTTATAGTTTCACATTTTACATTTAAGGCTATGATATATACTGGGTTTTTTCTTTGTGAAGGGTGTAAAGTTGGTGTATAAAATTATTTTTTGCATGTAGATGTCCAGTTGTTCTAGCACCGTTTATTTAAAAGACTGTGTTTGCTCCATTTTATTGCCTTTTTTCCTTTGTCAAAACTCCATTGATTATATTTATGTCGGTGTATTTCTGGGCTCTCTTTTCTGCTCCCTTGATCTATTTGTTTATTCTTTTACCAATATCACATTGTCTTGATTACTGCAGCTTTATAGTAAGTCTTGAAGTTTGGTAGTGTCAGTCCTCTAATTTTGTTCTTCAGTACCATTTTGGCTATTTTTGGCCTTTTGCCTCTCCACACAAACTTTAGAATCGGTTTGTCAACATTCACAAAATAACTTGCTGGGATTTTGATTAAGATTACATTGAACTATAAATCAAGTTGGGAAGAGCTGACATCTTGATAATATTGTATCTTTTATCCATGAACATGGAATAACTAGTTCTCCATTTATATAGTTCTTTGATTTTGTTATCAGAGCGTTGTAGTTTTTCTCATATAGATCTTGTATATATTATGTTAAATTTATATGCAGGCGTATTGTTTTTGGTGCTAATGTTCAATGGTATTGTGTTTTTAATTTCAAATTCGACTTGTTCATTACTGGTAGATAGGAAGGTGACTGACTTTTTAACCTTGTATCCTGCAACTTCTCTGTAGTAACTTATTTGCTCTAGGAGATTTTTTTTGTTGATTCTTGACAGTTTTATTTCTTCTTTCCCAATCTGATACCTTATATTTCCTTGTTTTATTGCATTAGCTAGGGCTTCCTGTACGATGTTGAAAGAAGTGGTGAAAGGGGATATTCTTGCTTTGTTCTTGGTCTTAGTAGGAAAGCTTGTAGTGTCTCACCATGAAATATGATGTCAGCTGTAGATTTTTTGGTAGATATTCTTTATCAAGTTGAGAAAGTTCCCCACTATTTCTAGTTGACTGGAGGTTTTTTTTATCACAAATAAGTGTTGGATTTTCTCAAATGCTCTTTCTGCATCTATTAATGTGATCATGTCATTTGTCTTTTTGAGCCTGCTGATGTGATGAATTACTTAATTGACTTTCAAACGCTGAACCAGCCTTTCATACCTATGATACATCCCACTTGACTGTGGTATAAAATTCTTTTTATACGTCGTTGGGTTTGATTTGTTAATATTTCATTGATAATTTTTGTAAAGCACACTTTTATATATAGGAGCCATGGTTATTACTGTCAAATAAACTCTCTAACAGAATAATTACTTTGTCAATATATTTTCTTTCTATCATTTCATCCTTCATTACAAGAGCTATTATCAATAACTAGCTTGAAAGATTGGAAATGCCTAAGGAAATTTTTCTAATTTCACTTATGGCTGAAGAAGTTTGGCACACGTTTTTCCTAAGCCTCACGAGAAAAGTAACCTCATTCCTTTACAATATTATACTTTTGACAACTATCTTTTAACTAATTGAAGAATCACCATAAGAATCAGTGTTGGGGCTTCCCTGGTGGCACAGCGGTTGAGAGTCCACCTGCCGATGCCCCGGTCCGGGAAGATCCCACATGCCGCAGAGCAGCTGTGCCCGTGAGCCATGGCCGCTGAGCCCGCGCGTCCGGAGCCTGTGCTCCGCAACGGGAGAGGCCACAGCAGTGAGAGGCCCGCGTACTGCCAAAAAAAAAAAAAAAAAGAAGAAGAAGACTCTGTTATTTTTGTGATTTTTTTTCTCCTTTTGTGATATCTTTGTAAATAAATTTTCAATCAACCTACTTCAATTTAATAGACAAAAAATTTCTCAATCAAATAGCTTAGAAATTATAAATTGAGAGTCAAATTCAAAAGCAAAAAAATATTTTTATATAATATCAAGTATTGTAACAGTAAAGGCAAGGCAAATCTTCAAAACCCTTCCAATGACATTCTGCTCAGTAAGTCGCAGTTGTCAAGACTGTGGATTGATATCAAACTCCCAAGTCACAATATGCTTCACCTCCACCGTATTCAGATAGTCAATATAACATGCACAATAGCATAACTGAGTCCTTGCAAAGATTAGGCATGACTTCTGACCTTCTGCACTCTGTAGCTTTGTGAAGTCCTGACAGACAAGAGGGGAATAGGTGTGGGCCACCTCAGCTCCGGGAAGCCATCAGATCTAGTGTCCCTTTAGCTATATCTATTATGAGATCTACCTATCTATCTATCTATCTATCCATCTAGTCACATAGCCACTTGGCACCTATTTTGTAGCTGTATCTTTTCAGTTACAGATTACTCATCAATTAAAGGTTAATCATCAATAACATATACTAATGAACAATTATGACGGCAAAAAAAGTTGATTGGTTTGATGCAAAGCAACCTCATCAAGACCTTCACATATCTTTAATTCAGGATGCATTCCATGATTTAGCCAGAGATCAAATTATCAGTTATAACTGAGGTAGAGAGGAAAGATCACAGGCCAACTGTTAAAAATTTCTTTTTACTAGTCATTGTTTGAAATAAGGGGTTCAAGGAGTGGCAGGTGGGTAGTGATCGGAACTGTTCTCTTAAATACAATTGCATAGTTCCAGTATACATGAACTTCAGTTACCACAGTCAGTTAAATAAAACCAGTCCCTAACAATACAGTTCAAATTTCTATCACTGCAATACATAAACTGTGAGTTATTACATAAAGTATAAACTTTGCTCCTAGCTCTTTAGCCCACAATCACTACATAAGTAACAGAAACTCATTATTTGTGATCCATGGCCAAATCACATGTCTTCTTTCAAAGTTTATTTGTGATCAGTCCGCTGTAACAGGCAGTGGCTGTATGATCTGTTATTCAGTTTGTACAGACAGCAAAGCCCATAGTTAAGTTACCTACTTGCCTCCCAATGATAAACACAGATGATATTTTACAAAGATGCATAATTGAAAGAGGAAATTGACCAAAGAAGTGAATATCAGCAAAGAAATGAAGTGAAAAATGCTGAAAGTAAAATTTAAATCAGACATAAATGTATTTATAGAAGGAATAGCTGACTGTGAGAATGTGGGTACTGCTGCCATTCAGGAGACTCTTGATATGCAGCCAGAGGAACTTCTCAAAGGTGAAGGTATCAACATAAATGGAAAATGTGTTTGTGATGAGTAGGTTGAAGCTGTGCCACAGGAAGTGGTGCCATATAAACACCTCACATGAAAGAAACCATCAGAGATACATCATGACATTAAAAATACAAAAGCTAAGATTTTGGAAACTGACCCAAACTGATGAAGGAGTGTTACAGTTTTCTAAGACCTAGAAAAGATGCTCAGCTTAATATTGAAAGTTATACAATGGGGAGAAGACAAGCACTGTTTAAACCACTCATAAGTTTTTTACAAAGAAATAAAACACTTGTCAATGTTTTAAATTACAGTACACAAAATAAATACTACTTTACTTAGTTTTTAATTTCCCTGTACATTTTTAAATGACTAGAATTTTTAATGTTTTGACAGAAAATTTTAAAGGTCATGGAACAACAGTCATTTTTATCACTGATTAATCAGCATTTTCCTCATTGATTATTAAGATCACTTTCTATAGCTTCACCTCAGCTTGTGTGCAGTCATTTTATGATTCCACAGTACTATGCAAAGTAATCATTGCCTGAAAAATACACACACACACACACACACACACACACACACATATACACATACACACACTTCATATTGCATATATGTAAAATACTATCCTGTAACCTTTAACATATTTAACAACTGCACAATTTCATTTATATGAGTTTATGATATGGTGATTTGTCCTGTGTTTTAAACTGAAAATCTCTTTACAAATATTATATAAGAAAAATAATAACAATGATCACTTACTAAGTACTATGTACTAAACACCGTTATAAGACCTGTGCATGTATTATTTGCTTTGATCTTCATGTCGATTGTGTGATGTGTATTTGTTTATTATGTAGTGAAGTGAAGATTTAAATCCAGAAAATGCGAATCCAGAGCTCACTTCCTTAACTATGAGGCTGTATTTCACTTTATGCTCTATATTTATTAGAGGTCCTTAAATGCATTCAAATTGGAAGTTCTTAAATATACTTAAATTGCTCTGTTAAATGTAGAAACTTAGCTGGACTGTTTTGTACAGTGTAAGTTTAATGCATGCAAGTTATACTTAAGGCCTTATTTATATATTTTTATTAAAAATTCAATGAAAAATTTCAATATGATCATGTATATTTATTTAAATCACCTTATTGATCATCATATTATTTATATCATTGATATGTACTTCTAAATAAATTTGGAACTAGAAACTGCCTCAGACCAGTGTTTCTCAGATTTGATCCATGTATTTCCTGCATTAGATCATGAGTATTATTAAAAATGCAAATATCTGTACCCGATATTTACTGAATATTGAAACTCTGACTCAATAGTCAACATTTTTTAACCTTGCTTCCACTTAATTGATTCTGCTGCACTCTCCAGTTTAAGAACCAACTTCTTAGAGATTATTTAATTCATCTTATATATTAATTTTGTTGGTAAGGGTTTTTCTTTGATAAGGAACTGAGGCTCTCTTACACTTTTTTCCTGTTGTAAAATGTGTTTACAGTTCTTTCTAGTACACTCAGTAAGGGTTTATAAGTCAGTGCATTTTTAAACTGAAGGTTGGTGACTATCTTAATATCCAAATATAGGTTTAAATCATTTCTAAGTTTTTATGTCCCAATTTCCTTACATTCTTTTCTGTCTAATAGAACTACTTTATTTGACTTATAGGGTAGTTTTCAAATGAATCTTCATTTTGTTGTTATTCAAAAACATTTTATGAAAAAGCTGGTATCAATTACACTAAAAAATCCAACATTAAAGGGCTTCTGAATAAAATTGTTCACAAACTTAGTTTTAATGACACATATTAATTACTTGTGTAAAAGGTTAGTAATGGTCAAGAATTTGGGAAAATTCCTATCTTGCCACTTCTTGAAGCTGGCATTAATCATACTTGAATGATAAAGTACTGCATTCCTTCTAAAGGTTTGCCTGGCTTCGTAGAAAAGGTCATAGAGCCCTTAATTTGAATGTGGTTGTAGCCAGTTATTACCTATGTGACTTTAGGCAAATCATTTAACTTTAATTTGTAATTGCTTCATATGGAATAAAATGGGCATGATATGAAATGGGTATTAGAAAGTTTAAATGAGATGAGATGTAAAATACCTTTTACATAATGGGCGTTCAACAAATGTGAATTCCTTCTCTCCCTCCCCCATCTTTTTATGTTTCATGGGTTACCTAATCTCTCTTTTGTATTGTACCTTGGTAGAACTTCTGCAGTTCTGAATGCAAAATCACCTTCCCACCCAGCCCCAGTGTTATCTTACCATTATTTCCCCTTCTGTAAGTTGATGAGGGAAGTGGGACATAAGGGGTTGAAAAGTCATCACTGTGTGCTAAAATCATAATTGGAAAGTATCCTGTTAGCTTTGCTTTCTTCTGTTTGTTGTAGTGATTGCTGGATTTCTTTGTTTTAGATTTTTTGCCCCCCTGAGGATATCTTAACACATGGGCTTCTGAAGATTGAGATACTGTTTTTCCATTAGATGTATTTCAAAGTAGCTCATTAGCAGTAAAGGCAACTTTGAGACTTACGGTTTCAATTTGTTTGTTTTTATAGGATCCAAAACTAAGGAAGGAGTGGTTCATGGTGTGACGACAGGTAAGCTTTGTGGAGCTTGTATCCAGGGATGATATTGAAAATATCTAGTAGGCAGTATAGCCCTAGCACTGATCATTCAGAATGTAAATGTAAATAACCACTCTGCCCATAGAGAAGCATTCTAGGGAAGATTAGCTTTGTTTAATCTTGATCCTTTTTTTTTTAATCCTTTTTAAAAATCTTGATTCTTTATTAAATATTTTTAAATAGTTTAAGTATTTGTTGTAAATAAATAAAGCACAATGTGTGTAACTGTCAAGAATGATGACTGAATTAACCAGTTTAATTGTTTAATTTATAGTAGTGTAGATTTGAGTATTCAGACCAACTTAGTGTTCTTGGCAAACCGATAGCATAAATATCATATAAGGATTGCCATTTTCAAGGAATGAATTAAAATTTTCTGTAGTGTATAATGAAATATTCTGACACTACAATATACGAATTATAACATTTCCTTGATGATTCACAAGACATTTTAGAAAACACCCTTGGGATGATCAGTAAATTACTTCTTGTATTTATCTCTTTTTGGCCTAATTTCACCAAGATTTTGAATAAGTCTGTAAGAACATTACAGTAAATGAATAGCAAAAATTATGAAAATTATGGTGGTGATAATGAGGAAGAGGAGGAGGATAATGATAGAAATAGAAAAATCAAGGGAAAAATCACAATTTAACAACCTTAAAAGCCCACAGACTTGCTGTGATTGAGTTTCATTTTGTACGTACTCCAAGCTTTCTGACAGGTGTGGTAAAACGAGATATAATCAGAAATATAATTCATATCATCAGAAAACAGTAAACATAACAAGGCTTCAGAAAAGTAACATGCTCCTATTGATAAATTATAAAATAGAAATATTGGGAAACACAAACGGGAATATTGTTTTTTTGTGTGTGTGTGGTACGCAGGCCTCTCACTGCTGTGGCCTCTCCCGTTGCGGAGCACAGGCTCCGGATGCGCAGGCTCAGCGGCCATGGCTCACGGGCCCACCCGCTCCGCGGCATATGGGATCTTCCCGGACCGGGGCACGAACCCGTGTCCCCTGCATCGGCAGGCGGACTCTCAACCACTGCGCCACCAGGGAAGCCCCAAACAGGAATATTAATACCGTATTGTGGTTAAGGCCATAAACACTAGAGCAAGACCTCTTTAGTTCGAATTTCTGCTTACCCCTTGCTAGCTGTGTGATTTTTCTGCACGTTTCATAACCTCTATGTGATTCAGTTTCCTCATTTGTAAAAGAATTCAGCGAATGAATATACATAAATATATAGAATACTGAAGGCAAATAGTATATATTATCTAGGTGTTACTTACTATCACTTTATAGTGGATCTATCTTGAGCTACATTTTTGCAGCTAGTGGAGAAAAGTATTTATATGACTATTTTATACATATTTTTGATAAAAAATTAGGGTATAAAATTAAAATGGGGAGTTCCCTGGTGGCCTTGTGGTTAGGATTCCCAAAATTGAGGCTGTGGACTTTGGGAGCAAATGTAGACTTGGGGTTTGCTGTATGCTAAAGACTAGTTTTTGATTTTTATGTTTATCTTAGTATAGTTTTTAGCGCTTGTTACCATTGCTGGATTTGTTTATTGGTATGATTGCTCTCTTTTTTTTATTTTTAAAAAATTTTTAATATTATTTTATATTTTATTTTAATAACTTCATTTTATTTTATTTTATGTTTTTTCTTTCTTTCTTGTTTTTCCTCCCTTTTCTTCTGAGCCATGTGGCTGACAGGGTCTTGGTGCTCCGGCCTGATGTCAGGCCTGAGCCTTGGAGGTGGGAGACCCAAGTTCAGGACATTGGTCTACCAGAGACCTCCTGGCCCCATGTAATATCAATTGGTGAGAGCTCTCCCAGAGATCTCCATCTCAATGCTAAGACCCAGCTCCATTCACTGACCAGCAAGCTCCAGTGCTGGACACCCCATGCAAAACAACTAGCAAGACAGGAACACAACCCCACCCATTAGCAGAGAGGCTGCCTAAAATCATAGTAAGTTCACAGACACTCCAAAACACACCATCAGATGTGGTCATAACCACCAGAAAGCCAAGATCCAGCCTAACCCACCAGAACATAGGCACCAGTCCCCTCCACCAGGAAGCCTACATAAGCCACTGAACCAATCTTACCCACTGGGGGCAGACACCAAAAACAACGGGAACTATGAACCTAAAGCCTGTGAAAAGGAGACTCCAAACACGGTAAGTTAAGCAAAATGAGAAGACAGAGAAATATGCAGCAGATGAAGGAGCAAAGTAAAAACCCACCAGACCAAAGAAATGCAGAGGTAATAGGCAGTCTGCCTGAAAAAGAATTCAGAGTAATGATAGTAAAGATGATCCAAAATCTTGGATATATAATGGAGAAAATACAAGAAATGTTTAATGAGGACCTAGATGAACTAAAGACCAAACAATGATAAAAAACACAATAAATGAAATAAAATATTCTCTACAAAGAATCAATAGCAGAATAACTGTGGCAGAAGAATGGATCAGGAACCTGGAGGATAAAATAGTAGAAATAACTACCGCAGAGCAGAATAAAGAAAAAAGAATGAAAAGAATTGAAGACAGTCTCAGAGACCTCTGGGACAACATTAAACACAACAACATTCGAACTACAGGGGTCCCAGAAGAAGAAGAGAAAAAGAAAAGGACTGAGAAAATATATGAAGAGATTATAGATGAAAACTTCCCTAATATAAGAAAGCAAATAGTCAATCAAGTCAAGGAAGTGCAGAGAGTCCCATATAGGATAAATCCAAGGAGAAACATGCCAAGACACATATTAATCAAACTATCAAAAATTAAACACAAAGAAAAAATATTAAAAGCAGCAAGGTAGGGCTTACCTGGTGGCACAGTGGTTTAGAGTCCACCTGCCGATGTAGGGGACGCGGGTTCGTGCCCTGATCCGGGAATATCCCACATGCCGTGGAGCGCCTAGGCCCGTGAGCCATGGCCGCTGAGCCTGCACGTCCGGAGCCTGTGCCCCACAATGGGAGAGGCTACAGCAGTGAGAGGCCTGCGTACCGCAAAAAAAAAAAAAAAAAAAAAAAAAAAAAAGCAAGGTAAAAGCAACAAATAACATACAGGGGACTCCCCATAAGGTTAACAGCTGATCTTTCAGCAGAAACTGCAAGCCAGAAGGGAGTGGCAGGACATATTTAAGTGATGAAAGGGAAAAACCTACAACCAAGATTACCCAGCAAGGATCTCATTCAGATTCAACGGAGAAATTAAAATTTTATGGACAAGGAAAAGCTGAGAATTCATCACCACAAAACCAGCTTTACAATAAATGCTAAAGGAACTTCTCTAGGCAGGAAACACAAGAGAAGGAAAAGACCTACAATAACAAACCCAAAACGATAAGAAAATGGTAATAGGAACATACATATTGAAAACTACCTTACATGTAAATGGATTAAATGCTCCAACAAAAAGACATAGACTGGCTGAATGGGTACAAAAACAAGACCCATACATATACTGTCTACAAGAGACCCACTTCAGACCTAGGGACACATACAGACTGAAAGTGAGGGGATGGAAAATCATATTCCTTGCAAAATCAAAAGAGAGCTGGAGGAGCACTTCTCATATCAGACAAAGTAGACTTTAAAATAAAGACTATTACAGGAGACCAAGAAGGACACTACGTAATGATCAAGGGATCAATCCAAGAAGAAGATATAACAGTTGTAAATATTTATGCACCCAACAAAGAGCACCTCAATACATAAGGCAAATGCTAACAGCCATAAAAGGGGAAATCGACAGTAACACAATCATAGTAGGGAACTTTGACACCCCACTCTCACCAATGGACAGATCAAAATGAAAAGAAATAAGGAAACACAAGCTTTAAATGACACATTAAACAAGATGGACTTAATTGATATTTATAGGACATTCCATCCAAAAACAGCAGAATACAGTGTCTTCTCAAGCACTCATGGAACATTCTCCAGGATAGATCATATCTTGGGTCACAAATCAAGCCTTGGTAAATTTAAGAAAATTGAAATCATATCAAGTATCTTTTCTGACCCAAATGCTATGAGACTAGATACCCACTACAGGAAAAAGACTGTAAAAAATACAAACACATGGAGGCTAAACAATACACTATAAATAACCAAGAGACCACTGAAGAAATTAAAGAGGAAATCAAAAAATACCTAGAAACAAATGACAGTGAAAACACAATGACCCAAAACCTATGGGATACAGCAGAAGCAGTTCTGAGAGGGAGGTTTATAGCAAAACAGTCCTACCTCAAGAAACAAGAAACATCTCAATTAAAGAGCCTAACCTTACAGCTAAAGCAATTAGAGAAAGAAGAATCAAAAAACTCCCAAAGTTAGCAGAAGAAATCATAAAGATCAGATCAGAAATAAATGAAAAAATATGAAGGAAACAGTAGCAAAGATCAATACAACTAAAAGCTGGTTCTTTAAGATCAACAAAATTAATAAACCATTAGACATTCATCAAGAAAAAACGGGAGAAAAATCAGTAGAATTAGAAATGAAAAAGGAGAAGTAACAACTAACACTGCAGAAACACAAAGGAATATGAGAGATTACTACAAGCAACTATTTGCCAATAAAATGGACAACCTGGAAGAAATGGACAAATTCTAAGAAAAGCACAACCTTCTGAGACTGAACCAGGAAGAAATAGAAAATATAAACAGACTAATCACAGGCAATGAAAGACTGTGATTAAAAATCTTCCCACAAACAAAAGCCCAGGACCAGATGGTTTCACAGGCAAATTCTATCAAACATTTAGAGAAGAGCTAACATCTATCCATCTCAAAGTCTTCGAAAATATAGCAGAGGGAGGAACACTGCCAAACTCATTCTACGAGGCCACCATCACCCTGATACCAAAACCAGACAAAAATATCACAAAAAAAGAAAAGTATAGGCCAATATCACTGATGAACACAGATGCAAAACTCCT